TTTTTAATATTTATTTATTTTTGAGAGAGAGACAGAGCATGAGTGGGGGAGGAGCAGAGAGAGAGGGAGACACAGAAACCGAAGCAGGCTCCAGGCTCTGAGCTGTCAGCACAGAGCCTGATGAGGGGCTCGAATCCACGAACCGTGAGATCATGACCTGAGCCGAAGGTGGACGCTTAACCGACTGAGCCACCCAGGTGCCCCCACCAAAACTAACATCTTAAAGAGTTAATCATGATCATCACTAATTGTATTTATTCTGGTGCAACACTAATTTATTGCAATTGTTTTCCTCTTACGATGTCAAATGGGCAGCAGATTTAAAAAACAGATCTTCTTAGCTTCCTCAAGTTAAAAACCTTAATTATGATGCATCCATATTGTCTTACAGACTTCTGTCTTAAAAACACAGGGCACCTGGGTGGCTCAGTTGGTTAAGTGTCTGACTTCGGCTCAGGTCATGATTTCACGGTTTCTGAGTTCGAACCACGAGTGAGGCACTGTGCTGACAGCTCAGAGCCTGGAGCCTGCTTCGGATTCTGTGTCCCTCCCCGCTCTGCCCCTCCCCAGCTCTTGCTCTGTCTCTGTCTCTCTCTCTCAAGAATAAACATTTAAAAAGACAAAAAAACAAAAAAACCACTGTAGGGGCACCTGGGTGGCTCAGTGGGGTAAGCTTCTGACTCTTCATTTCAGGTGAGGTCATAATCTCACCGTTTGTGGGATTGAGTTGTGCAACAAGCTCTGCACTGACAACGCAGAGCCTGCTTGGGATTCTCCCTCTCTTTCTGCCCCTCTCCTGCACATGGGCTCTCTCTCTCCCCCTCTTTCTCTCTCAAAATAAATAAATAAGCTTAAAAAAACAAAAACAGTGTAAAAAGCAAAAATCTCCATTGCTCATGATAATGTACCTAGTGGATAAAGGTCTACTCAGTCTTGCTTCGTATACAACATGGCAATCTTAATAATTACTTTGTTAATGAGTAATGAGAAAGATTGTTTTTAGATCACAGGTACTTTTTGAGAGATTGTCTTAATTGTAAAATTGAATGAGCTGACCTTTTAGTAAAGAGAAAGTCTTCAAAAGTATTGGCTAGTTCTGGCCACATACTGTCAAATTTTCCAGAAGAAGCATGCTGCCGGGCAACAGGTAGCCCAATAGAAAGAACTTTGAGGAGAGAAGATACTGCTAGTTTCCATGTGCTTTCAGAAGGGCAGGAATATTTCAAACTGAGAGGAACCCTAAGGGTCTGTGAAAATAAAGACAATTTAAGATATGTATTAATTAAAATATATAAATACAGCTTTAATTACTTAAAAAAACTATAGCAAAGAGAAAAAAATAAGAGCACAGGTATTTTCACTTAAAAAAAGGATATTATTTTCTAGAAAAATCAGTATTTCAGACATGGTCCTCAAATCCTACTGCCTAAAAAGATATTCTGTTTCCATTTTATAAACAATGACCTTGAATGAGTAACAACCTTTTGAACTTCAGTTTCTCATCATAAAATATAGGGATGTTATCCAAAAAGATAGGAATAGTAAACTTAAAATTTCGCAGTTTCTCTCAACTTACTGTTACAGAATTAGAACGTTCTGCCATATTTTTCCTAGCAGAAAATAATTTGACTGATGAGGTTCTCCCATTTAAGAAAGATCAACACCTTGTATTTTTTCACTATTGGTTAGGTAAATATAACCTAAAGCATCAATACTTTGAAGTCTTATGTTTTATCTCTAAAATTCTTTGAACTTAATGTTCTACTCTAACATTTTAATGTACTTTTTCATTTTCCAAGTTATTTCAGTAAGTTTGATAATTCAGAAAGACTGTTTATTCCTTAACCCTTGCAGATACAGGAGTAAAGCATCTGAGTTACGTATAGTGATGTGACTGTGATGTTGAGATTTACTTTTTAACTGGTCAACTTTTGAGGTAGGTCGCTATAAACCATTAAAGAACTAATTTGGTGGTTCAGAATGAAGTCCTCTGGCTATAGTTCTATCCAGCAACTACAAGGCTAGACTGATCAAACTCCCAGTTTCAGCATATCAGCAGATAATGTACATTAGAGTAAAAATCCTACTTTTATATAAAAATCCTAGTCTCAGAAAGATAAAGAGTAGCAGAGATAAATTTTCATATTTCAAGGTTATGGAGTGAATATAAAACTTAATTTCATCATCGTCCATACAAATTATTACTTACTCACTTCATGAACCATTACATGTTAGCATGAAATGGGCCTCCACTAAGAGATAATTAGCCTAGCCAGATCTATTCCTTTCCTTTCCCCAGGTGCTTTGGGGGAACCTGACTTCAATTCCACTTGGGATTTAGGGTAAAGAGATGATTAGCTCATTAAGCAAATCAATCTACTCCATTTCCCTGACCATAATCACTGGTTCAAGACTGGGCATAGGACTAAAGCTGGTCCAATTAAGGTTAATTTTAGAAACTTAAGAAGAATAATATGATAAGAACCACGTATATACACACACCTCTTACTGGACATCAAACCCCTTATTAGCCTGTAACTATGAGGAGAAACATGGGGTGTAATCAATCTTTGGAAAAGCAGAATGGAGAGAAAAAAAAACTTGATTTTTGTTGACACTGCAGAACCACTGGATAAACCAATCCTAAAACCCTCCATCTCTGAATTTTCCAACTAAGCATGGCAATAAATCCCTTTTATTGTTAAGGCTAATCAGAGCCTGAGTGTTTGCCATTTGCAAAGAAAACAGTGCTAAATTATACAAGGGCCAGTCTAAGTTAACATTTTATAACTCAAGGTTAGATAAAAGAAAAATATAATTAACTACTACAATTAATATTTTACTGAAATTAAGGGAATGTTACACACAGTAGATTTATGTGATTTGTACATTTTTTGTTTAAAAACATGTAAGCAACTAAGATGGAGATTGGTTTAAAGCATATACTCAGTAAATCTGTGTGGAACTGAGAAATCTGCTCTTGCTGCCACAAAGCTCACAATTTTTGAGAAAGAAAGAGTCTTGTCCAATTAATCACAATACAGTGTAGTGAGTGGCATCAAGAAAGGGAAGCATAGGAGCGCATGGGTGGCTCAGTCAGCTAAGTGTCCAACTCTTGTTTTTTTTAATGTTTACTTATTTATTATTTATTTTTAATGTTTATTTATTATCTTTGAGAGAGAGATAGGCAGAGTGCGAGTGGGAGAGGGGCAAAGAGAGAGGAAGACACAGAATCCGAAGCAGGCTCCAGGCACTGAGCCATCAGCACAGAGCCCAATGCGGGGCTCGAACCCATGACCCGTGAGACTGTGACCTAAGCCAAAGTTGGGCACTCAACTGACTGAGCCACCCAGGTGCTCCAAAGCATCCAACTCTTGATTTCAGCTCAGGTCATGCTGTCACAGTTCTCTGAGTTCAAGCACCACACTGTGAGTGCATAGCCTGTTTGGGATTTTCTCTCTCCCTCTCTCTGCCTGCTCACACAAGCTCTCTCTTAAAATAAACAAACATTTTTTTAAAAGGGGTAGGGGGAAGGAGTACAGAAAAAAGATTATTTAATTCTTTTAAACATACAAACTGATTCATGTCACTCTTCAATGGCTAAAGAATAGTATGATTCCTTACAATGGCTTATAAGAACCATAGCTATTTTTTAAGACTTATTCTAGGTCCTGACATCTCCCTAAATGGAATTTCTCAAAATTTCTTTAAAAAATACCACAATCTTTTACATTGCTTAATCCCTCGCCTTCTCCCTAGCAAATCTATTACTCCTTCAAGTGTCACTTCTGTTGATCCTTGCCAAAATCCTCTGGACAGTTCAGTTATTTCCTTGTCTATGGGGGATGGGAGGTGGGAACCTAACTTTTTACTCAGCACTGACTACTTGGCAAGTATCATTATAAGCTGTATCTCGAATGAGTCTCTCAATAGTTAAGACATATAAGTGGTATTGGTATCAACCTTCTTTTATAGATGAGAAACGCTCTGACAGGTCCATTTACCCAAAATTATACAGCAGCAAGTAAACAGCAATACACTCAGGCAGGTCTATCTGAATCCACTGTGTACTCTTCACTTAGGACTTAACATACTTTGTCTGCCTTTTCTATATTCCCTTCACTGAATTATTAAATGTAAGAATTATCTTGCTCATTTTTAAATTTCTACTAGTTAGTACCTGGCAACAGAGGTGCTTACAAACTATTCTCAATGAATGAGGAGAGAACAGCTGTGATGGGATGAGTAGGGAGGGGAAGGAAGAGTATGACAAAAATCACGGGAAGGAGTTTAAAGAAGGTTAAGGGCAGTATCATAGGACAAGGAGGATAATTAGAAAAGCACACAGGATTTGAAGATTTGATCTTCTAAACTTTTAAGTCATTTCTGGAGCACCATATGAAAGTAAGCCAGCATGCAGCGGGGTGAGAGCGAGTGGCAGCTTAGATGAAGGCCACAAGCTGTTTAAAGGAATTTGGAAGGAAAGAAAAGCTGAAAGGGGATGGGCCATTTGAGTAGGAAGTAAAGTGAGAGAAAGTTCTTCTATAAAGGGCTTAATCATCTTTCCAAGGTACAGTTTATGAGACTAAAAGGAAAATGAAACAAAGCATCACCAACAAAAAAAGAGGGAAAGAGGAAAGGAGGGACACAGAGAGAAGGATGAGCTTTGAAACAGAGAAAGGCCTTCTCCATGAGGGAAGACAGTTCATATTGGCCTATAGAAGGCAAGGTTTAGGTGTGTTCTTCAAAACACAGGGAAAAAAAACAAGAAACAGACTTTGGAAGAATCAGACATAATCCACTAGAGATGAGTTTTTGCAAATGGTTGTCCATACACTAGGGAACTGGCTTTAAAAACAGAAAAGGCATGCATGATCAGTTAAGTCAATGGGCTATAAACTTCTCCTCTGAATACTCATCAACCTTGAAGTATAAGAAACAGGATACTTTGTTATCCTGTGGCAAAATTTAAGAAGTGAAAAAAATCCAATGCATACTTACTTTAAAATATTTTTCATTAAAAAAAGAACTTTTCTTCCCATACTTTGGCTAGCTAACTTGGATGTGAATTAAAAAAAAAAAAAAAAAAAGAATTTTTCATACTGTAGAAAAATGGCTTCCTAAATATGATCCATGAATGTTGGAGAAAAGTCTCTACAAATAATTATATAAATATTTCCCATTATCTCAATATATGATAATATATCACTACCTATAATTTCAATAATTTACTGTAATTTCAATAATAGTATCATCATCAAGTGAAAGTATAGAAATTAAAAACAAGATACCTTAATAATATTCTGGAGTACTTTCTCATTCACCACTGCTTTGTGACAGGCTGTTTTTTGGTATAAATCCACAACTACTTCTAAAGACCTTTCAGCAAACGGTACATAATTCAAGGCTACCCATTCCGCCTAAAAAGTAATATTTTCACATGGAGTTAAAAATAAATGAGATTAAATTATGTTTTCAAAGAGAAACCTTCTTTGTCTTAAAGTTCAGTCCTTGGTTTTAGGTCAAGATTATATCACATGCAAAGTTTTCAAAGAGATACGTACTTCATGAAAGAGTAATTTTCAGCCAGGCAAAAATTAAAACTATCAGAAAAAGCAGAGAGCATTCTATCAAGTACTGGGAAGGATGTGTTTTACTTGTTGCCAATAGGTTAGGACAATTTTAGGAAATTTAACTCACCGGTGCAAATAGTTGGATCTATTGTGATTCCATTGTGTTGCAAGACAAATAGAATGAGAAAAGTTAATACACATTAAAACTACTTTTCGGATGATGTAAAATTATTTTATGTTGAGGGAACAAAATCAGCCTGTGCATACATTCAGAAACTTACTTTTCCTCTAAGCCAAAATTTGCCAACTATGGCTATCTTTGACATAAAATCCAACTACATTTCACACCAGCAGTAGACAATTTATTTAGCACACACAGATTTCTTCATTTTGTATTACAGATATTTAAACAAGATTAGGCTTAGGGATTTAGAAGCCATTTTGTAATAGGGTGGGGCAGCCAAGAAAGGACCTCTGAAGAAAAATGTAACATGAAAGGCCAAACTTTCTAGAGAACTACTTGGGAAAGGAAAGTCAAAAACAAGAAAAAAATGGAACACGGAAAAGGTTTTCCAAAAAGTGTTTCTTTTCAGTTTAAACTGTTAACAGACATATGAAAGTTTATTTGTAAATGACAAATTTCTGAGATACTCAAAAGTTCATCTTAAGTGGAACTGTTAATAAGGCATGAAATCTTACAGAGAAAATATAATTTAGAGTAAATTACCTGATTATATTTTGCATTTGCAATGTGCTTTGTTTCCAGCTGTCCATACTGTGGAGGTTTACAGGAAAATTCCACAAATGCCAGTAACTGGTCAAATATAGCTGGATACATTATCTGCATGTTTTCTGGCCCTACACAGATGGCCTATAAAAGCAAAATATGAACAACAGAATGCATAATCTAAATTCCAATAAGTTCTTCACTGTATATGCACTTAACCAAAGAATCTGAAAGACTGTCCTATTTTATATAAGTATTATACAATCTTTTATAAGCCCTGAAGGACAGAGCTATTACAAGCTATTTTAAGCTATTATTGAATACAGTATAAGCTAACTGTGTTGATCAGCTAAAACATGCCTTTTAATAAAAAGTGTGATTTATTACTTAACAGACTAGAAAAAGAGCAAGCACTTGAAGAGGAGTCCCAGGCAGTCCTGAGGTTCCACAATCCGATCATTTGTTCAGTAATACAGCCATTAGGTCATCAAGAATGCTTCATTGACCAAGAGGATATTGACTGATACTGACTTCTATTTAAGTAATGGCATCAGTTCACTGAAATGACAGCTGATTTCTGCACTATGCTTAGTCTCCTAACTTTAACAAATAATCATGTATACCATTATTGGGAAAATGTGTGAAAATTTGTTTCTAAAAGAAATGTATATGTGAATTTTTTGACCTGGCAGTGTATATTTAATGTCTAATGTATCTGAATATACAGACTTGATTTAAAACAAAAGAATTTAAAATTTTTAATAGAAATTAAACTTATTGCTATAAATAATTTGATAAAACAGAATAAAATACGTATCCTGACACTACAGATTTTAATTACTTCAGATAGCCTGAAAGTACTTAAAATGAGTCTTATATTTTCATTTTTTCTAGCAACAAATGTGTTTTCTCCTCCCATCCTTTCACACATTCCTGTTTTAATGTTTCTTTTCTGTGTGAAAAATATTCAATGATAGTATTTATGTAGTATCTAAAATATACTTGTGCTTTATTTACAAAACAAAAAACATAATCATTCTGCACTTGAATACTCTCAAAATAGTAGATCAAAATTCAAAGCATTTAAAATTTTTAGGGAATTCCTTTAAAAAGATGCACACAACATTTATGGTTTTCCAGAACCCATGGCTTTTTGATCTGTCAGGTAATAGATTAATTTTATCTTCCCTCAGAGAAGACAGAGCCATTTAGTTTTAACTGAAGTTTTAGAGAAAAGTGTCTTGAAATATAAAGTAGATAAGCAAAGTGCTGCCCATACCTAAGTTAGATCATCCTATAAATACAATGTAAAAAAAAAAAAAAAAAAAAAGAAGAAGACATCTAATACTATCTCTCAATATTTGGTTATTTTTCTCTGTAATAGTGAATTAGAGGAATCTGAATGGTATACAGCCTAAAAAAATCACTCTACTGACTGCTTCTGTTAAATTTCACTTTCTTTTTTATTAAGCTCTTGCTGAGTCTTAATTCTCAGAAGTAAATAAGCAGTAATTACTGTGAAAAAGAAAAAATTATCCTAAGTGGATTCTTAAGTTTCAAGGACTAAAAAAAAGTAAAGCCCATATGATTACCTTACAAAACTAAGTATTAACAGTTTCTCTGGAAATATCTTAGCACCAAACAATGACTTTGACTACACATTTCAATTTTCAGTGGCTGTTTATAAAAAGAAAACATACTGTATTGTTATAGCTGACTTAATAAGCAATTCCAGGATCTTAAAATGCATACTATTGAATTGACATTTTTCAAAAAAAAAAAAAAAAAACTCCATCTAAGAAAAAGTTATTGGTTTTCTTTCAGTGTTCTTAAATTTGTATATCAGAAAAAACTATAGTATGAACCTGATAACAGATTTCAGTTCAAAAGCTACGAATCAGTCAGCAAGCTGCACATTTCCTATTAGTCCAGTTTGAAAACTGTATGTGAAAACAAGAACAGAAAATGGACATCCAACCTCTCCTGTGGTTCAAGGTTTCTCTTATTAAGTCCTTAAACAATAATTCATTCAGTGCCTACTTATACAAAGACTTTTTTTTGCCTCCTCAACTCAGATACTAAGATCCATGCCAGGGAACTTGATGATACAGACAGTAACAGCTAACATTCACTCAATGTTTAACTGTGCCAAGCAGTAAATGCCTTGCAAATCCCATTTAATAAGAAAAAAAGTTGTAGATTTATCATTTTCATTTTATAGATTAGGAAGCTCATGAATAAAGAGAGTCAGAAACTTGCCCCATTAAGCAGCAGGCAGGGCTTCACTGCACAACTCCCCGGGCACCATTCACACACAATGTGCCGGTGTCTCCTGGAGTACCCCTCCAACAGTCTTGATGATGGAGGCAGATACAGCGTCCAGCCATCTGACTGGAAGTTTAGTAATAAATAAGACAGATGCAGTCTCCTGACCTCAGAACTCAGGGAAAACAGAATCAAATTCTCAGGTCCCACGCATGTCAAAATATCTTGGCCAAGAAAAATTAATTAGCATACATAACTAAATTTAGTGGGATCCAGTGATTTAAAAACCAAGAGAAGACTGTCACTCTGTAGCTTTGAACTATGTAAGGGTAAACGTGAAATAAAAAATGAGTTTTTTACAAAGGAAATTATCTTTAACCAATAAAAAGTTTCGTTGGAAAACTAATTTAATTATAAAGTCCCAAAGCAAGTAAATTTTGCTTATGAAAAAATTTTCTGACACACGTGGGAAAAAAATACAGAAACACTTTTACTGATAGTGAAATATCTTACTTTTTCCATTAGGAAATATTAAAGACACCTTATGTCTGAATCATATTCAAGTGTTATAAAATACCATTTAGATAATTATAGAAGTAATAAACAACAGCTAGAGTGAGAATTAGTAATGCAAAATTGCATCAGTTGATACAAATGAACAACAAATAAGGCTTCCTAAGTTTCAGAATGAAGGTATATGTTGTTTTCAAAACTAGTAAAAGCTCAGAAAAAGTTCCTAGTAGTTGAAGTAAATGATTCTACTTGTTCTCACACTGCTAAAGCAGAGCTTTTAAAAATAAAATTATACAGCCTGAGTGGCTCAGTCAGTCAAGCGTCCGACTTTGGCTCACATGATCTCGCGGTTAGGGAGTTTGAGCCCCCATCAGGCTCTGTGCTGACAGTTCAGAACCTGGAGCCTGCTTTGGATTCTGTGACTCCCTCCCTCTCTGCCCATTCCCTGCTTGCACTCTCTGTCTCTCTCTCTCCCCCCAAAATAAAAAGCATTAAACATAAATAAATAAATAAATAAATAAATAAATAAATAAATAAATAAATAAAATTAATAATTTTTTTTCCTTGAAAAGAATTTTGGAGGTTTGTTGTTATTTCTCTGTTTATAAAAACCTGAATCTAACATCTAAATGCGTGTTGTAGATTATAGACATCACTTAAGGTCTGTGCTTTGTTTTGCTGACAGAATAACTTTTCAATTCCCTCCAGGGCACTGCATAAGTAACATGTGCATGGTCAATCAAGGGGGGAAAAGTAGGTACTAACAGGCTACTTTTTCTCTTCACTGAAAATAAAACAGCTATTTTGATTTCGATTGTGGAAAACTGATAACCCTACAATAAATTTTTTTAAACGTCAGATTCTCTTAAAATTTAAGTTTCTACACAATTTGTTTCTCTGCACAGACAACTAGGGTTAAAGAGATCAAGGTTACTGCACAGCTAGATTTCTTCCAGAGCCAGTGAAGAGGTATTCTGGTGTAGCAGAAACCACTACTTTCACTGTGAAAGTTTTCATCATTCCAGCTGGATATAATGCAATCAGCTAATTAGAAAACGATCTGCCATACACAAATCTGGTAACACATGAGTAATCAGAATCTAGTTCCATTCTAATTTTGCTAGAATGTCACAGCGACTTTGCTGGAATTGCTGGCTCCTCGGTTGGCATTTTTCTGTTTAGCAGTTTGTTTGTTGTGAATTGTGCCAACAATTACCTTGCTGGTTTAGAGAACTCTTTGATTCTGATCTGGTTTTGCCTGCTAGTTGGAATTTGCTCAATGATTTTTAGGTCTGTTTGTTTTAGTAACTTTTTCACAGTAACAAAACACACATAGGTAAAATCTATCTTTTTGCAATTTCTGTGAGAAACATACTTTTAAATTTATTCTTACTTCTTGTTTTAAAATATAAGCTTCCAACAATTCCAGAGCTAAATTTAAGTACAATGAAAAAATACAGATATATATAATCCCATAACTTATTGATTTCCTAATTATAGAAGTACTTCACTAAAGCTGTTATTCAGAGAAGTATATACCCTCTTGTGAAGAGCTGCATAATCAAACCAAAAATGTTGGTGAATAGAAAAAAGAGGATACAGGCAGTTTCTGAAACTCTCTCAAAATAAACCTGAATTACCTTTTCAAATACATCAGAAAGCCCTAAGTTTTTAAAGTAACTGGATGTTTAGAACCTTGGGTTTATCTGAAAGTATGCATATACAACAATCTTGCTGATCCAGAATTTATCTTAAAAAATATGTGGCAAACTAAAAAACTTCCAGAGAACCACACACGTTATTGTTTAGACAGCCACTGAAACTCTATTACCTTCTGGAGAACATCTAAAGCTGTAAGCACAGCTTCTTGTAAACTTGTCAAAACTGCTTCAGTATAAGATGGAAGAATAAAAGGGGACGCGTCTGAACTTATGGGGACTGACACAGCACTATGCAGTGTGACTCCCAGCTTCTGCAAGTCGCCCATGCTGAAACCAGCCTTTATGTGCTGGTAGAGAGCTGGGAATATCTGAGTTAAAGCTGTAAGGAAAGGCTGGCTGGGGATGAAAGTCAATTTGTCAAAAGTAACAGGAGGCTTAGTGCTTTCCGATCCAATTCTATACCAGGTATTCCACGCAGCCCACCAGAGATTCAAATCTTCAAGCTCGTCAGTAACTATGGGTGGCTCAGAGCTGTTGTATCGTCCAAGTTTCTCTCCAATGGAATCTGTTCTTACAAACGGTCTGCTCAGGCCAGGGCCTGATAGGGACCCTAGCAGGACAGGCACAGGTACATTAACTGCAGGTGGTGTCTCGGGCTTATCTGAGTCTCTGACGGGGGACACAATCTGTAAAATTTCCTGGAAGCTTTTCAGGGCAGCCAGAGATACTTCATTGTTTTTGCTGAGTGCAGCTGATTGTATATGGTCAAGAAGAACATCCCATGCTCTTGAAAAATCTCCTGTATCGGGAAGAGAAAAACAAAATCTATCAAAATGGTCAAGATTTCTCAGACTATTGCAAACTTTACAATTTATTTTTCTGCTTAAATTCTTATAAAACTGAAGAAATATGATCAAGTACTAAGGTACTAACAGTGTGAATTAAAATCAATGAAACCTTGGAGCGCCTGGGTGGCTCAGTCAGGCCTCTGACTTCAGCCGTCTGACTTCAGCTTGGGTCATGATTTCATGGCTTGTGAGTTCAAGCCCCATGTCAGGCTCTGTGCTGACAGCTCAGAGCCTGGATCATGCTTCGGATTCTGTGTCTCCCTCTCTGTCGGTCCCTCCTGTGTTCTTACTCTGTCTCTCTCAAAAATAAATAAAAAAATTTTTTTAATTAAAAAAAAAAGAAAATCAATGAAACCCAAAAATCAAGTCAAAATTTTTTTTCAGATCTAGGGACAAACGGCACCAAGAAGAGGATGAGTATATCAATGTTTTGGTCTTAAGAACAAAACTGTATAGGGGCACCTGTGTAGCTCAGTTGGTTGAGACCAATTCTTGATTTAGGTTCAGGTCGTGACCCCAGGGTGGTGGGATCAAGCCCCAGGTCGTGGGATTGAGCCCTGCATCAGGGACTCTGCACTGAGTGTGGAGCCTACTTGATTCTTTCTCTCTCTCTGCCTCCTTCCCTCACTTATGCTCTCTAAAATTAAAAAAAAAAAAAAAAAAAAATTAAATAAAAAATATTAAAAACAAAACTCTATAAATGTATATACACATGTTCACACTATTTCCTAGTTATTTCTGCCTACGGAAAACAGAATAAAAATGTAAGAGGGTAAAAACAAAAGCTTTTCAGTAACAACTTTGATTTACTCATCTACCTTTATTTAATGATTAAGATAAGATGTTCTCACTCTTAAACATATTGGAAAAGTTACAAATTATAACAGAATAATATGTATTTTTTTATTGGCCTAAGTTTTTAAAATACACTATGCTCTACTCATGAAATCTCAACTTCACGCCTTTTCATATTTTAATAACCTAGAGCTGCAGAATTCTTTTTTTATTTTGTTGTAGAATTTTCTTAAACATTTCTTCCCAATTACAGTGAGTCACCAGAAGAAAGTGCACCATAAAGAAGAGACTGTCTTTTTACAACTTTGAGTCTAAATCTGCTCCTCTCATGTGAAATGGAGTGTGCTGACCCACCCACAGCAGAGTATGGGCTGAGTGGCAGTTGTTGGCTTCCACTGATCAATCCAATCTCTTGTTCTACTCCTATGACCAGGTAAGCACATTTATGTTGAAGTTCTTTACAGCAACATGTAGTCTGTTTCTATGAAACCCAGCAAAAATGACCTTGTTCCTAGAGCAATTTACCCCAATGGCTTTGTTAACAGAATGGCTTATTACCCACATACATGCATTTAACACAAAAATCAGAAGAACTGACATTTTCCAAAGCAGGGTGACATAAGTAGGCTGTGAAATACATAAATAATTAAGGTTTAAAGTCATTTCACAAAGGCTATAAATGAGTAAATTTTTAAATTTTTCCTCATATTTCTGAGGAAGCAATCAGTTAACAGAAAAGCTGGAAGTAGTTCTGGGATGAAACAATAGGTACTACTCTGCCTATACAGGACAAAAAATAACACCTGGCCAGTTATATGCCTCTTCCTTTCCACGTTTTTTTTTTTTTTTTTTTATTAAAAATTGAGGTATAACTTACATACAATAAAAAACAGATTTTTAAAAAGTTTATTTTGAAAGTGAGAGCACGTGTGTGCAAGTGGAGAAGGGGCAGAGAAAGAGGGAGAGAGAGAATCCCAAACAAATAGGCTCTGCTCATGGGGCTCAATAGGAACCATGAGACCATGACTTGAGCTGACATCAGAGTGGGGACTCAATCTCATATTTAGAATATTCCGTACCACAGGAAGGAAAACCCTATAATTCCTCTTTTAAAATATTCTATATCTAGGAAAAAGTACACATTCTTAAAGACTAGATGTAAGTATATATTGTTCATGGTTATGTTGAAAATATGAACCTTATTCTAAAATAATATAGACCATTTTCCAATATTCAAATTATAAAAAACTACTAAAGCTACACAAACAGCCTTCATTTTTAAAAAACTAGATCTTTATTTATTAGGTTTTACATTTATTTATTTATTTATTGATTGATTGATTGATTGATTGATTGATGTTTATTTTTGACAGAGTGTGAGCAGGGGAGGGCAGAGAGAGAGAAGGAGACACAGAATCCGAAGCTGGCTCCAGGCTCTGAGCTTTCAGCACAGAGCTTGATTTGGGGCTTGAACCCACTGACTGTGAGATCATGACTTGAGCCGAAGTTGGGTACTTAACTGACTAAGCCACTCAGGTGCCCCATACTTTTAAAATTTTTTAATGTTTATTTTTGAGAGAGAGAGAGAGACAGAGAGAGAGAGAGAGAAAGTGGGGGGGGAGGGGCAGAGAGAGAGAGAGAGAGGGAAACACAGAATCCGAAGCCAGCTCCAAGCTCCAAGCTGTCAGCCCAGAGACTGATGTGGGGCTCAAACTCATGAACCATGAGATCATGACCTGAGCCAAAGTCTGACACTTAACCAACTATGCCACTCAGGTGCCCGAGGTTTTAGCTTTTAAAACAAAGTAACTATCATGGAAGTTTTTTTGTTTTTGTTTTTTTAAGTTTATTTTGAGAGAGAGAACATGAATAGGGGAGGGGTAAAGAGAGAGGAAATGAGAGAGAATCCCAAGCAGGCTTCACACTCAGGGCTCATATTCATAAAGTGTGAGATCATGACCTGAGCCAAAATCAAGAATCCGACGTTTAACCAACTGAGCCATCTAGGTGCCCTATCACAGACGTATTAAAAATGATGCTTATTTGGTTAAAACTCAGCAAATATATAGTTAAGACTGGTACATCTCATTTTATGTAAATTTTATATGGAAATAAAAAACTAAGATTTTTATATACATTTAACATTAAGCTCTAGGAGAGCAAAAAGGATCAAACATTAGAGACCACTTTTGGTAAAAAAAGGAAAAAATGAACATGAAGAACACACAAAACTGCTGATGGAAAGAATAAATATGCTTATGCTTTAACATAAACAGGAACAAAAAAGCCAAATGTAAAATAATAATTTGTAAAAATGCAATAATATGTACAGCATGCTCATAATTTTATAAACCAGTATTTCTGTTCCATTCACTTTTCTCTACCCCCCTCACCACTATCATCAGAACTGAAGGTATAATCTACACTGGGGCTTCTCAATCTCAGTATTATTGACATTTACACATTCTCTCTGCCTATAAAATTCTTCACATTTCATCTTACCCTTGCCTGATGGAAATACTACTGACCATTCAGACCTCAGGTAAAATACTGCTTCCTTAGGGAAGCTTACCTGGAACTCATAGGCCTGGTCAAATAACTATTATAAGCTGACAAAGCACCACTCCTTTGTAGCATTTATCACTGTAGCAATTTTGCATTTATTTATGTAATTTCAGTTATTCCCTTATGCCCATGACAACAAAGATGTTGTGTATTTTATTCATCATTGTATCCCCTAGAGGCTAGCCCATATGAGGTAAATTACACATTTTCTCAACGAAATGAATGAAAATGTGTACGCTTATGCACACACCACACATAAACAAAAACTGACATTAAGACTGATTATTCTTGGGAAGTAGCATTATATACAAATTTTTTAAAAATCTCCTACATTTTTCAAATTGCCTTTAAAATGAGTTACTTGTTTAACTAGAAGGAAAAATGCATATATACCTAAAGGTTGCAGTAAATATCTTCTAGTGTTAAAGATTCTTGCTACTCCGGCCAATGTTAAAACCCAGGTCTCTGCCCACTGCTTCTCTGCTGTGTCCCTTGAATGATGAATGAGAATATTCCCACCTCCAGACTCAATCTTTTCTTTGTCTGCAGTGGTAGAAGATTCCCGAACTCGGTCCAATAGATGAAAGAGAACCTGAATATTTATAAAAATGCATATAAAAATAACATAGCTTAAATAAAAGCATAGCAATTAAGAATTGTCACAACAAAAGTCACAAGAAATTATATCAGACAGATCAATCCAATATATTAGAAAAAATAGAAGTATTATATTAAGTTTATACTTGAAGTTATAGAATATGAAAAATGTTTTAATTTGATTGGATATTTTCTAAGACTTGTTGACATATCAACAGAGCATCTATGGGGTAATGTGTAAGAAGGGACTGAAGCTAAGGAATTCAGTCCAGGCAAAAAACAGAATTATAGAAGACATCTAAATAGAGGTTATAACTCAAGTTTCAGGACTAGATGAGGGTGCTTGAAAATATCAAGCAGGAAGTGTCTGGGACTTGGAGAATGTTTACATTTAAAGCGTAGATTCAGGGGAAGGAGTTGAAGAAAAAAAATAAAAATGAAAAAGACAAGCAAAAGCATTCTGTGAAACAGAAGCCAAGGGAAGAGAAATTTCAAGGAGAAAATAGCCAACAGTATTAAATGCTACCAAAAAAAAAAAAAAAAAATGAGTAGGATAAGAACTAAACTTAGGGAGAACATTTTGGCAATTAGAAGACTACCTGTGGCCTATGAACAATTTCTGTGGTTCTCAAAATATGGTCTCAGAACCAACAGCATAGCATCACCCAAGAAATTCACAGACATGCAAATTCTCAGGCTCTGTGCCAGGGGGATCAAAAAAAATCACAAACTCCGGGGGTCTGGGGTTGGTAAGACTTCAAGGGGACTCTGTTACTAAGGTTTAAGAGGCTTTGAATTAGAATAATCTAGAAATCATATTAAAAGGTCAAGAGAATGCAGGGGAGGTGAGGAAGGAAAAAAAATCACTGAGAATTAGGCAGCAAGATTAACAATAAAGCTGTTTAAAATGAAAATAGGAATCAGAGAAAATATCAGTTTGTTTTTTAAAATAATAGTAAGGGAGACTAAAGCATGTTTATGATCTGAATAAGAGCCAATAGAGCTGAAACAGAACACAGGGGAAGGAGAAGAGATTTTAATTATTTTTATTAGTAAATGAACATTAATTTTTTAAATGTTTATTTACTGATTTGGAGAGAGAGACACAGCAAAAGAGAATGTGAGCAGGGGGAAAGGCAGAGATAGAAGGAGAGAGAATCCTAAGCAGCTCCACATCATCTGCCCAGAGCCCAAAGCATGGCTACATTAATTTTTTAAGAAGACATTCTGGAGTCTTTTTTATTAAATTGAAGAAAAATTGTTAAATACAATTAGGATTTACTATGTTGCCTATTACCAAACTTAACTGATCTCAGAAATTCACAAAAGCAGTGTAAAGACGATGAGCAGAATTTTATTTATTTTATTTTATTTTTCAGGTTTATTTTTAAGTTTATTTAGTTTGAGAGAGAGAAAGAAAGAGAGAACACACATGTGAGGAGGGAAAGGACAGAGTGGGAAAGTAAGGGTTATAAGCAGGTTTCTGCTGTCAACACATAGCCCAACACGGGGCTTGATCCCATGAACTGTGAGATCATGACCTGAGCCAAAATCAAGAGTCAGATGCTTACCTGACTAAGGCACCCAGGTGCCCTGGAACAGACAGAACCAAAAAGGAAAGCAAAGAGGAGATGCTCACTAATAAGCTGTTAGTTTTGTAAAAAAGTCTTAGAGGATAAAAAAGAAAAAGAAAAAATGAAACTGTATATTTAATGAACAAACATACAGAATTTACCACTTAGAGGTTACTTCTGTTTGCTTAGTCTGCAAGTAAATTTCACTATTGTTGATATTCTTTCATTTATAAAATTTGTAGTTGATTACATTTCAATTATGTGGTTTTGCCACTTGGAAAAACAGGGAGAAAAAAGGGACAAAGGCAGAAATCAGAGACAGATATTAAGAGATGAAGATAGAAAAAGAGAGAATACGCTTTCAATATGTAATTTGCTCCATGGTGTAACTTATAGCAGGACAAAACTAACATTTTGTATGGCCAAAAGCACAAATGCAGGGAAATTCTTCTTTAAAAATTAATAAGAACAAATTTAATTGAAAAATTTTTAAATCTGTCTCAAATGCTAATAACTCAGGCTAATACACAATACCTTCCAAATAACAGTATGCCATGTTGAATGCTGTAACAAAGTTCCATGTGCACCAATTGTTGAAAACAGAGTTTGCCCTGCACTTTTCCTCACAGCAGGACGGGGGTCCACACATAGTTCACCCAATTTTGCATAAAGACACAGCCACAAGCAATCAAACGGTGGTGCAGGGTGGAAGGGCCGATTTAAAACCACTCCTTTTTCTTCTGCCTGTTTTTGCTGTGCTGCCTCTTCTTTATTTAATTCTTTTTCAATAGTTTCCCCTCTTTGGAAAAAATAATCTGAAATATTCCACTAAAGAGCAAAGTAGAAAAATACCATTTCACTCACAGGTTTTATTTTAAACACATAAATAAATATTCAATACATGATTGGTTGCTTTAACTTTCAGAAACAAAACCTTAAAAAGTCACTTCAGAAATTTCTTTTCTAGCAGAATAGATTTGAAAACATCTCTGTCATATGTCTCCATCTGATTTCCGGAGAATATGGGGAAACAATCTTGTGCTGACATTAATATTTTTAAATATTTTTGTTATGAAACATTTCAAGAACATACAAAATAAAACAAAACAAAAAACAGGGAAAATGTATCAACATATCAATGTACCCAAAACCTATTATTAACATTTTGGCATATTTATTTCGTGCCTATATTTTATAAAAAATTAACCATGATACTATTATGACACCAAAAAAATTATTAACAGTTCTTTAATATCATTTAATGGCATTTTATAATTTCATAGAACAATTACTATATCCCAACGTAGCTTATGACCTCATTCTCAACCACAGTACAGTGTATGAATTAATGAGAATTACACCAATGATAAAAATGTAGAGAATCCTATAAACATAAATATAAGAGTGACACCAGGCAGTAATATAGTCAACACTGAATTAAATACTCTTTGGGAGGGATTCTATATGTGTGCTTATTTTCTTTCCTATGATTACATTTTAATAGTAACTTATCTAGCTTATGAGGGATATCTGACTTTAAAATTTTCTGGCTTATAGAGGCGTCTGGGTGGCTCAGAAGGTTAAAAGTGTCGGACTCTTTCATTTCAGCTCAGGTCCTGATCTCATGGTTCAGGAGTTCAAGCCCCACGTTGGGCACCTCGCTAACAGTGCTGAATCTGTTTGGGATTCTCTCTCCCTCTCTCTCTGCCCCTCTCTTGCTCATGCTCCCCCACTCAAAAATACATAAACTTTAAAAAAATAAAAGTAAATAAATAAAAACTTTTGGCTTATAATAAACTTTTAAAAGTGTAAATAATTGCCTTTAAATGCATTTATATTGGAAACACCTTTGTTTATTAATGTAATATTAATAACATCCTAACTTAGATTTTACTTCTACATTCAAAGTGAGTAAAATGAGGCTCAAAAGGTCAGTCATTAAACAATTAACAACAGGCACAGAGAATTAAAATACAAGTATATCTGTTCCCACAGTCAAGGCTCTTCCATTAACATATGCCTTCTAGTAGCTAACAAAGCAGAGTGGATGAACTACAGGACCATGTAAAGACTTTTATTGGAGCTTTATTTACTAAATAAGTAGTACATGAAAATGTTGCTACTAAAACAATATTGAAAATCAATTAATCCTTACACGAGAGTCACATAAATATTTCTCTTTTATGTACTATTACTTGTTTACTAAATCCTCTCATGACAAACCTTTTAAAGCGAAATTTCAGCTCAATAGATAAAGATTATTCCAAATATTCTATCAATGAATTATTTCTTAAATTATGTCATTTAATCCTTCATGCAAAATCAAAGTTTAGCACTTAAATGTCATTCAAACAACCCCCATAAAACAAAAAGCCTATTTGCTTAGCATTCATTCTTAATTGCCTAACAACGATTTCTAAATTATATGATCACAAGAAAGGCAGTAATACTTACCAATAAACCTATTGAAGTTAAACTAATATTAAGTTCTTGGTTATGAAGTCCAAAGCTACCTGCTACATCTACAACAATCTGCAGGCATGTGCAAGGCATTGTTGGTAGAAAATCTGTCACAACCAACTGAAGACACTGGAATGCAGTTCGTATCAAAGATTCTCTAAAAAAAAAGAAAAATAAATATATATTTATGCACTTAAATGTAAGTAAAAATATACACCTTACAATAATTTGAACCAAGTTAAATTCTATTCTAAAATTTGAACAAGAGGGGTGCGTGGGTGGTTCAGTAGGTTAAGCATCAGATTCTTGATTTCAGTTCAGGCCATGATCTCAAGGTTCCTGAGTTCGAGCCCCATGTCAGGTTCCTCGTTGACAGTGGGATTGTCTTTCTCTGCCCCTCCCTTGTTCATGCTCTCTCTCTCTCAAAATAAATAAAAATAAACTTTAAAATTTGGACCAAAAAATCTCCCCTAATATAGGTCATACAGTATTTTAACATCTACATAATGTAAAAGAGATACTTATACTTAAATAAATTAACAAACAAAACTGAAGAAAGGATGTTGTATCAACCAGCCAAACAAAAGTTAGACATTAACAAAAAAAGGAAATTGACTATAGCTACTTTCTCACCACTATATCCCACAAATCTAGCATGGTGCCCAGCATATGCAAATAGACACTTAATGAAAATGAGTTCCCCATTCTTTTTTATGTATATCTCATTTAAAATAATCCATCTAGTCTGCATAAGAAAATAGTATACTTTGAATTTCAAATGAAGAGAATAAGAAGTATTTGACTTTAGAGGCACCTGGGTGGCTTGTTCCTTGAGTGACCGACTTTGGCTCAGGTTACGATTTCATGGTTCATTGAGTTCAAGTCCCTCATTGGACTTGATGCTATCAGTGCAGAGCCCACTTCAGATCCTCTGGCCCTCTCTCTCTGCCCCTTCCCTGCTTGTGGTCTCTCTTTCTCTCTCTCTCAAAAATAAATAAACTTTTTTTTTTTAAAGAAGCATTTGACTTTAGAGAGAAATGGCAGTGGGGAAAAATAATAACAAAAGTGAATTATAATAGCTAACACTTACTGTTTGCTATGTCATGTACTTCCTGTTTTACATGTACTAAATAATATCTTACAACAACATCCTATTTTATAACTGCACTGTAAATTAGGAGAAGAAATTTTAGCTTGATTTAAGCTATCGCTGGCTTCCTTCCACTTGAATCATCTCAGTATTTTGTAGAATTTAAGGAAATTTACTACTACAAATAAGTAAGAAAGATCAATTTTCCATAATAGATAGTCTCAAGCATTTCAACCATACAAAACTCCTCAACTAGTCATCATGTAAGATGGCATGAGTTCTGCTGCAGAATGAGACAAATATATCCACACATCTAATAGACCTTTCCACTGCAATGTTTCACTTTAAACTAAACAAGTCCATTTTGCTCTTCCTTCAGTATTTACTACTTAGTTAATACCACCACCATTCATTAAGCTGCCTAAGTCAGAAATGTGGGAGTCATTCCTTATTCTATTTCCTATTTCACCCTTCACCTCTATAGTCAATCTGCTAAGTAGCTCAAATCCATCTCCTCCTTTTTTTTTTTTTTTTTTTAACATTTATTTATTATTGAGAGACAGAGAGAGACAGAGCATGAGCATGGGAGAGGCAGAGAGACTGGGAGACACAGAATCCAAAGCAGGCTCCAGGCTCTGAGCTGTCAGCACAGAGCTCAACGCGGGGCTAGAACTCACAAACTGGGAGATCATGACCTGAGCCGAAGTTAGATGCTTAACTGACTGAGCCACCCAGGCGCCCCATCATCTCCTCCTTTCTATCTCTAGAGAGCACTACAGGCTCTCTCATTTCCCCCCACCCCTCCAGGGTACTGTTAAAGTGATAGAGCTCAAATGCACATCACAATGTTCCTTTGCTTAAAACTCCTAAATGTCTCTCAAATGGACTGAGGACAAATCCAAATACATAGATTATAAAAGCATGTAAGGTCCCTCATAATTTTGGCTCAGCCCCACTCCAGGGACACAGGCTCTTCCCACTGGAATCCTATTCTTTGGAGCATAACAGACTATTCTTATTAGGATCCTAACATAGACCTTGTTCCTTTTCCATAAGATTCTAGTTTTAGAGCAAGAGCTACCCAACTGTGTAATCATAGAAACTAGCAAGCATAGTATTTAGAATATACTAGGCACAGAATAAATGAACAATAAAATTTTAAAAGTCACTTAAAAGCAAATTCTTAGATTTCCCAATATATGCAGAGAAGTCCTAAGTGTTAATTTATATCTTATCAAATATTTATTTTAATAATATAAACCCCAATCTTTGGATGTGTTACAAAATTTTTTAGGTTGGTGCATTTATATTAATTATGAACTTTGTATTCTTGTACAAATGTCAAATAAACAGCAATTTTTCCATCCTTCCAAAACAAAGGTGAGCCCTAATAATTCACTCCAGCCAACTGGAGGTAGGATTAAGAAAAAATGATTCTAGATCTTAGACTTAAACAGGAAGGGTATACATAAAAAATTACCACTTCTGCAACATTTTAGGATGAATTCATTCTTTACCTCTATTACTTTCTGGATGTTAGTTTTAAAAACTTACCCTTGATCATTTCTGATTGCTCCCATGACTCCAAGCACTAATGGCCATCCAGGCCCAAGACTGTCTCCCTGACTCTGAAGAATCTGTAACACACATTCTAATTGCTTAAGTCGGATATCTGGATGGTTAATACTGGACATTTCTTTCAATGGGTTCAATAAAAGCAACTGTAGTCTCTGAAAAGAGGGCAGGAAACTAATTAGAAAGAAAAGCTTTATTGTTACTTTTTAAATTTAAATTCACCTCCACTCAGACTGTAAGAGTAAATAAAAACTTTTCTACTAAAACAAACACTGATTTCTCTGAAGTAATTAAGAGATTTATACGTCACCTTTTTTTAAAATAAGAGAAATAAAAACCTATCTTTAACATGTTAAATTTCAGATTAAATGGAGTGACTATGCGTTAAAGGACACTAATTAAAGACCCGTATAGAAATTAATCTCAATAAAGGAAATGTGTCTATATACATCTAGCTATATCTGGAGAGAGGAAATAATCCCCAATTTCTAAAACTATCTTTCATAATTTACTCTGTTAATATACATCACGTTTTGTTTGTTTATTTTGAGCAGCAGGCAAAATATTTTGAGCAGCAGGCAAAAGTTTATTAGAATATACAATTAGAAAGGAAGAATAGTAGGAAAGCTCTCTTTACAGAGAGGGGACATTCAAAAGTGAATGCCCCTATATCACATACATTTAAATTTAAAATTCTTAATACTACTAAAAAGTGAGTAAGTATGGTACCCATTAACAAAGACAGCGTCAAACGATTAGAATCCACTGGAGTAAAGACAGCATTCTTTTCTAGTCCTTTCAAGACCTGAAAGCACTTGCATCATTTTTACCTGTTTTCTCTTCAAGGATTCATTTATTTGGTTCACTGATTGAAAAAACATTTAAGCTCTCACCTATGTGTCAGGTATTACAGTGAATAGGATTTGGATAAGGGTTTTCTTTTCAAAAAACTTAAACTGTAACAGGAAAAAAATATGAAGTCACTAAAATTTAAGCTGTATAAGAACATATATCTTTTCTGTCTTGCTCATCATTCTATTCCAAGAGCTAAATCACTGGGTAGCATCTTGTATGTACTCAGTAACTATGTATTGAGTAAATTTATAGAATACAATCACCATCTTCATTCCTACTCAATCTTCAAACAAAAGAACTTCAGTGGACTTTTAAAAAACCGTATAAGAGATCTATAAATGATTCTATGAGTCAGGACAAAGGACTCAAGACAAAAATAAATTGGGGAAGTACTAAGGAACTTTTTAAATTATTTAAAAATAAAAACCTATTTTATTGTACTTGTCTCTTCTACCACTTGCTTTTCTCCCCATGTAAGGATAATTAGAGAAAAAAATTAGGAATAGTTAGGGACCAAAGCAAGGAGGCTAATAAAGTAGGGCCTCAAAATAAAGTCTTAGCAATGCATGAACAGGGAAAACTTCCACAATGGGAGCCCAATTCTAAGTAATTTAGCAGCTTTAATTCTGTGTCATTCACAAGAAGGTTTTCATGACTTTTAATAAAGATAATCCTAAAAATCCAGACATACCAGTCTTCTGTATGATATCCATGGCCTACATATAAAATGTTAAACAACACCCATTCTCAGAATATCATCGATTTGATAAATTAAGAAAAAGACTACACATAGGAGAGGATGATTTTGCATTAAAAATTTTTTTAAAACAAGGTAACTTTTTTTTTTTTTACCTGGTTTTGTGAAAGTGGAGGATCATGACTAAATGTTAATCCTGCTTTAATAAGTGAAGTTAAAGCTTCTGCTCCCCATTCTCTCATTCGAGAGTTTGGATGCTGGCACACCTAAAGACAAAACATTGAACAAAAATTAAATATTTAACTTGTACACTTAAGCTACATATCACACATCAACTGAGAAAAGAAAAATTTAAATATAACATTTTGTATTCTTTCACATTTTAAAAATTATATGAAATGTTCACCAATAAGGGCTGAATAAAAAATTGTATCTAAAATGGAAGTAAGCTTACCTTCTGTATAAGGGGCAAAGGAAGCAATAGAGAGACAGAAAATAAAAGATGAAACTAAACAAGTCACAGAAAAAAAAGGATTTCAAAAAAGTAAATTATATCATCAGAGTAAACAAAAGCGGCAAGCTGATACTAAGGTTCCTAATCAGGCCAACCCTCATAATCAAATATTATGCTAAGATTTTAAAAACTTATTTTTGTGCCATTTGATGAGAATGTCTAGGACAAGAAAATCTGCATTTTTCCTCTATAGTAATTCATAAAAGTAATCCCAACAAAATGGGGAAAAAAAAATAAAGAAAAGTTCAAGCTCATTTGTTTCTCTTATTAAGAGTAATACCTTTCCTAGCTTACTAAAATAATACAAAATGATCGTGGAAACTAAACCTAAAGTTCACATACACACGCATACTAACAGAAGCAACCATTACTGAGAATCAGCTAATTATTACCAGTCACTCCAACTTGAACACAAGAGTATACAAATCCAGATGAAATTCCCTGGCACTATCTACAATTAGTGATACCACACAGGCTTTTTCCCTTTAGAGAAGAGCTATCTCAGAATCACAGGAAAGGTTATAGAGGAACAGTGTTTATAATGACCTCTCAGCCCCAAATGCCTTAAAGTTTCAGAACTAGCTGAAACTGAGGTGGATCAAGAGACTCTGTAACAAAAGAAAGAGGACCCAAGCTAACAGCTAGAGGAGACTTCAGAGATTTCACTGATGTGTCACCCATTATCAGTGCAAAACACCAACCTATTCCTTCCCCAAGGCAATCATTGCAAAACTTTAGTCCCTAATGAAATACACAGACATAAAGACAAGGGGGAAAAAAGTTAATGTTGATTGTTCACATGGTCATCCAGAATCCGTAGTTCAATGTGTCTATCTTTATTCTTAACAAAAGTAAATACAGCATTTAAGAAAAAAGAAGTTACCTCAAGTAGATGGCCAGTTAGAGGTCTCCAAAGAATTTCTATTCGGTGCATGTTAACTAGACCAGTTTCTAACAATTTGGCAACAGCAAAAAGAGATGGTTCCTAGAGAGAAAACATATTGCATTTTGATATTGTAAGAAATTTTTAGTACCTCAACTATAAATAAAACTGACGATACTCTGAAAAGCATGACTATAATTAATATATAATTAGTATAAATTAGCAATAATCATAACAGAACCTTAGTTATCATGAGACAAGACTTTCTGAAACCCACCCTCAAGTATCCAGGATAGATTCTAATTATAAAATTTGGTTAGGAAGAGAATGCTTTCATGAGAAAAAAGTGAAAAATTCAAAATTATTCCAGACACAGAGTGGCTACTCTTCTGACCAGAAGGAAAGATACATTCTGTTATAGACTAAACTGTGTCCCCTTAAAAAATATCTATGTTGAACCCTACCGCCAAGGTGATGGTCTCTGGAGATAGGGCCTATACGGGGGTAATCAAGGTTAAGTGAGGTAATAAGGTGAAACTCTGGTAAGATAGGATTAGTGTCTTAAAAGAAGAGACACCAGAGAGCTTCCTGGCATGCTCTTGAGCACTCCTTCCCACCATGTGAAGACCCAGTGAGAAGACTGCTATCTTTCAAAGCAGGAAAAGAGTCCTCACTTGAGGACCACCATGCTGGCATCTTGATCTCAGACTTACAGCCTAGGCTGATTGATATATATTCTTACTAGTGCAGTCTTCAAATGTCCACGTTTTATGTGTGAATGTCAGGAAGTATGAAAAAATCCAAAAAGAAACAACAGAGACCAGGGGAAAGAAGTATAGAGTCAGGAATGAGGCAGATATTGGAACTGTGAGTTTAGGAAATAACAGAAAAAATACCAGAGACAGGTGACAAACCCCTCTCCTCAGTTGCTAGCATTTCACCAACCAGAAAAGGAATCAGTATTGTTTTAAGACAAATTTGGCCAGGCTGACCTTTGCTGCATGCACTAATGTTACAGGCACCCTAAAAATTTGTGTGGTAGAAGAATGTACCATTGTAGAAACAGTATGATACAGTGGTTAAGACTGACATTTGTGAAGTTTTAATTGACTAGGACCTCATTTCAACTCTACCACTTAATAGGTACGTAACTTGAATAAGTTACTACTTTCACTAAAATTTTTTAAATTTTTTTAATGTTTATTTAAAAGCAAGAGAGACAGAGCATGGGCAGGGGAGGGGCAGAGAGGGAGACGCAGAATTCAAAGCAGGCTCCAAGCTCCGAGTTGTCAGCACAGAGCCGGAAGCAGGGCTCGAACTCACAGAACATGAGATCGTGACCTGAGCCGAAGTCAGACGCCCAACCGACTGGGCCACCCAAGCGCCCCTCACTAAAATTTTTTAAATCTATACGATGGGGTAATAATATACAGAGACAACCACACGTTAGAAAGTATCTGGCAGATAATAAGTCCTCATAAATGTTGCCTAGTATGATTTTCTCCTCCTCCTCCTCTTTCTTAGCCCCAACATGGGGCTTGAACTCACAACCCTGGGATCAAGAGTCAGATGCTCTACCAACCAAGCCAGCCAGCCACCCCATTCTTCTGCTAATTCTAACCAGGATGAACACAGGAATCGTGTGGCATTTAAAAAAATGTACAAGCTCAGAGTTTGGAGCCTGCTTCGGATTCTGTCTCCCTCTCTCTCTGCCCCTCCCCTGCTCACACTCTGTCTCTCTTTCTCCCTCTCAAAAATAAATAAACATCAAAAAAAATTTTTGTTTTTAAATGTACAAATGCCCACACCTCATAACCAGATTCTTATTCAGAAAGCCTAGAATGTATTCCCGGCATTTGCATTTTTAAAAAACTCCACAGCAGACTTTGATGCACACAAAAGTTACAGCCACTAGTGAAGTGGTTAAGAATAAAGCTCTAGAATGAGACCTATGTGGGTTCAAATCCAAGTTCTAACAATTACTAAATATGTGATCCAAGGCAGATTACTTAAACTCTCTATTTTCATATTTCTTTTTTTTTTTTTTTTTT